AAACATCTCCAGGGGTAAATTCTAACCCTCCGTGCTCATGGGGCTGCCCAAGACTGGTGGTGCTTGGCTGAGCAGTGGTGGAGCTGGTGGCCTGCTGGTGCCGGCGGGAGCATTCGCCTGCGGCCGGCGCAGCCGAGAGCGGGCAAATACTGGCCGGGTTGTCGAGCTGCTGGTGGGGGGAAGCTTTCGCCCAGAGGCTGCGGTTCGCTAGCATGTAGGACGCGTGGAGCGGGAGCTGCCTGGCCGAACTCCGCAGCCCAGAAAGCAGGCAGCTGGTCTAGGCTAGGCACTGGGGCTGTTTCTGCGGTCAAAGAAGACAGGGAGGCGTGAGCACCCTGCTGATGAAGGTACTGGCTCTCTCCATTTGCCTTGCCTAATTTAACGTCTCTCTTTTTATTTTTTCTCCCCCCTCGATAGCCAGAGTTAGTTGAGAATTAATATTGCCTCTTAATCTTACTGCTGTTTAACGTTGTCCTATTAGTACTTGCCGTTATGCGGGGTTTCATTACACTAACTTTGCAGCCAGCTCCTGGTGAGCATTGGTGAACACGTAGAAGGAACGTGCATTGCTCAGGAAGGCGTCACCGCAGGTGCAAATAGTTGCAGCAAAGTCACGCAGAGGTGACGGTAGCTGCTGCATTCAAACATGTTGCAAACACTTGGCATGCTCAGGGCGTCAGCTAGTGTAGTTTTAATTTAGACTGTTTTTCAATTGTTTTTTTTTTTTTCTTCTTGTCATCTCCCTTTAGCTTAATTGTCAGTAAATTTTGCAGGATATTAGAGGTGTGCTCCTGGTTTTCCGCACCAGGACACGCTTGACTTTGTCTCCCCCTCCCCTGTAATGTGGACCAAAGAGAATTGTTTCCTCTCGAAAGTAAGAGAAAGGAGTTTGGGGGATGAAAGCATGGTATTGTGAAAGACCTAGATGAAATTTTTATTATTTATAGAAGCAATACCAAATGGAATTTGTGCAAGACTTTTTTCTTTCATTTCCCCCCAAAAAAAGCATCTTAATATGTATTAATGGTGAGCCGTTCAGGGCTACTGTGGAGGGATGAGATTCTCTCCTAGACTTGTCCTCCGCTACAGCAGTCCCTTTTTCTGGCAAAGGGTCTGGGAACAAATAGAGTGCCGTAACTGTTAGCAGCACAGCTTGGCTAAAACCTAGGGGGTATTCCCAGTCATCCAGTCCCCTCTCCCCTCTGGATGTCTCCTCTTTTTCAATGGAAAATAGATTTAGTAAAAGTCATTAGGGCCTATGTATTTATAAATACCTTTTTGGTAAAGGGAAACGCCTTGCATTTGGGGGGAATTGAGGTGTCCTCTCATGTCATTTAGACGTGAGGTCTTGAACGTCATTGCTCTGTGCAGCAGTGTGATAGTGACGGAAGAAGCTCTCCTGCTCCCGCACCGCCTATGTTCCTCTCTGTCAGTGGCCCACAGGAAAGGAACATCAGGCATATACACAGATCTGTAAGGGGTTTCCTATAGGGAGTAATAGGGATGTTGAAGGAGAAAAAGTAAGAGTGCCCTTTTTAGCTCATGTTTTCTAATTTTGGCTTGCTGCTCGGCCTCTGCATCCAGTTAATGTCCCTACCTCCAGTGCTGTGTCTGCAGGGTGGGAATGGTGCTGCAGGGTCCTGGGGGGAGAAACTAGTTGATGGCTGAAAATTGCCTTGAGGCAAGTGCGTGGGGACGTCAGCTTGCGCGAGACCCCCTTGCCCTGCATTTTAGTGATGCTTCTCGGGACACGGACCCCACTTATGTGCCTTTGGGTAGGTGCAGACAGAGGCAGCATATTTCCTCCTCCACTCTCAAACCTGGTTCACCTCATCATGAGGACAGGTGTCCTTCGCTTCTGTTTCCCACCTCTCGTGTTGCTCCTCAGGTGCTGGCATTCTAGGCTTTTTTTTTTTTTAATAGCTGAAATGGAAAAGCAGTGTGAAGAGGGGGGTGAGAGCCACACAACAGCCATCTCCCCTCCTCCCACAATGCAGTTTTAGTCTGAGTGAGAGACTGAAACATGTCCCTGTGCCCTACGCAGAGCCGTGGGTGGCCAGCCCAGCCCCGGCTCTGGTGCCCCCCGGGCCCTGGTGGGGTGACTTCCTACGTCCAGCGAATTCCTTGTTCTGGTGTCTCTTGGCTGTTGGTCTCCCTCGTCTCCCTCTTTTTCCTCCGCCTGAAGTTCCAGTACCCCTCGGTGTATCTCCTCTCTGTCTCGGTATAGTGTGGCAACTGTCAGAAATTGCAAGTCTTCACAAGTTGGAACAATCTGTTTTATCCACAGCTCTGGCATAAACCTCCTTCTTTAATGACTACCTGGTAGCTTGAGACCAAATGTGATTTTCATTGAACTGAAACCAAACCCACCGTTTTCCTCCCCTTCCCTCCGTGCACTCCTTGCCCCTTGTTAAATTGTGCCTTCATCTTCAGGCCATGCTGCTATGGTCCCGGCCGGCTCGCCGGGCCCTGGGGAAGGTGCTCCTCAAGAGCACTCGGTGTGCTGCAATCCGCTGGAGATCCCATCACTGCTGCGGCGCGAAGCGTTGATACGTGATGGACAAGGCCGTGGCAGACGTGGAAAGGGTTCTTGTACTTCTTATCCGGTGTCTTCTACAGCAGGTTTTCTATGCAAGTAAAGAATTTACACCTCTTGAAAACATATATATATATTGCTGTTTGTAACTCCTTTTTATGCCTCCGGTCACTATTGTACTTATTAAAGAACTAATACTTCATCCACTGAGGACTGCCTGCTTCTCCCTTCCCTGCAGTTGCCGTGCACAGACCCTGTGCCTGCTCTGCCCAGGGAGAGGGGCTCCTGCTCCCGGCCCTGCCGCCACCGGAGGTGGCCCTGTGGGGACCCAGCGCTGCCTCAGGGCACTGGGACAGCGTGGGCAGAGGGGTGGCAGGGGCCAGGGGAGCCTGATTGCCTTTTTGTGGCCCAGCCACCTCCTGGGCGCTCCTCCAGGTGTTCCCTAAATGTTTGAAATGCAAGGGGAGTGATCAAAACCTTTTTTTTTTTCCCTTTTTTGTTCCTTCCCTTCCTTTTTTCTTCCTTCCCTTTTTTCTTCCTTCCTTTTTATGGGCTGGCACATAACCAGCTGTAGTCACCATTTCTTATAGAATCATAGAACTGTTTAGGTTGGAGAAGACCTTTAAGATCATCAAATCCAACTGTTAACCTAACACTGCCAAGCCCACCACTAAATCATGTCCCTAAGCACCACATCTACCCATCTTTTAAATACCTCCAGGGATGGGGACTGAACCACTCCCCTGGGCAGCCTGTTCCAGTGCCTGACTACCCTTTTGGTGAAGAAATTTTTCCTAATATCCAACCTAAACCTGCCCTGGCGCAGCTTGAGGCCATTTCCTCACGTCCTATCGCTTGTTACTTGGGAGAAGAGACCGACCCCCACCTCGCTACAACCTCCTTTCAGGTAGTTGTAGAGAGCGATAAGGTCTCCCCTCAGCCTCCTTTTCTCCAGGCTAAACAACCCCAGCTCCCTCAGCTGCCCCTCATAAGACTTGTGCTCTAGACCCTTCCCCAGCTTTGTTGCCCTTCTCTGGACACGCTCCAGCACCTTGATGTCCTTCTTGTAGTGAGGGGCCCAAAGCTGAACACAGTACTCGAGGTGCGGCCTCACCAGTGCCGAGTACAGGGGCACTATCACCTCCCTGGTCCTGCTGGCCACACTGTTTCTGATACAAGCCAGGATGCTATTGGCCTTCTTGGCCACCTGAGCACACTGCTGGCTCATGTTCAGCTGGCTGTCGACCAACACCCCCAGGTCCTTTTCCTCTGGGCAGCTCTCTAGTCGCTCTTCCCCCAGCCTGCAGCGTTGCATGGGGTTGTTTTGACCCAAGTGCAGGACCCAGCACTGAGCCTTGTTGAACCTCATACAGTTGGCCTCTGCCCATCGATCCAGCCTGTCCAGATTCCTCTTGGTGTCTTTATTTTTTCCACTCTGCAGCTCTAATGCTTGAGCATTTGCCTTTTAAACAAACAAACCCCTACACTACTGTGTGGCTCAGTTTTCTCTTTCCTCATGGAAATGCTGGAAACCCCAGCGCCTGACTGCTGCTGGCCACATCGCGGTGATGCTGTGGAGCAGAGCCATCCCTTGCCACTGGTGGGCTCGGGAGGTGCTGGGGTGTGCAGCTCAGTGGCAGGGCTGGGTGGGCTCCAGCTGTGCACAGCTGTTGTCTCCTTCAACGTGATGATGGCTGGAAGAGCTCCTGAAGTACACCACATCAAGGTCCAACGTGTAATCCAGCAGCATTCAGGGTGGAAGGGGAAGGATAGAGGTTATACATTTCCAGGGAATCACTGATAATGGTGCTGGAGATGGTACTTCCTTCAAAAATGCCCAAAACCCCCCAAAAGAAGTTGGGTGGGAGGAAAGGAAGATGTATGAAAAATGGTGTTGGGGGAGACTGTGCCAGGTTTGCTCTTTTTGTTGTCTAAAGACAAAAAAAGGTGTATGCCAGTACGTTCCCCAGCTGGCTAGCTTGCAGGGAGAGGGAATCATCCAGGAGGGATTTGTTTAAAGTGTTTCTTGAGCTGTGCAGCAGCCTGTGGTGCAGTGAGGTCCCTGGGTGGCCTCCCACGTAGGACCACAGCCTGGGCAGCCAAGCAACTGCAAAACACCCCCTGGGCTCACACCCACCACCGGCCGAAGACAGCACCTTCGTGAGCTCCAGTCCCTGGCCTGAAGTGGGAACGTCCCCCCCAAGGGGTTAAAACCATCCCAACCCGGCATTACCGTACAACCCAATCACATAGTTGATTTTAACAACCTTTATTGAATCACAATTAGCTGCAATCAACACAACTGAGCCCTTTAAGTCAGCTTAATTCCCTTAGCTTAATGGGATTTTTGCTCTTTACTTTGAGATTACTATCCAGCAATCAAGGAGGCAAGAAGTGCCCGAGACACACAGCGGTGCTACGCGTTTAGCAAGGCCACTGTTTACACCCTGCTGAGGCACCGATCCTACTCGATGATGGTGATGGCCTTCTCCGCAGAGATCGCTTTGATCAGGGTCGAGGTCAGCTTGGCTACCATTTTCTTCTCTCCTACTCTTGTTGGAGTGCATATTACTTGAGACTTAATGATCCTACCGGGCTCTACATCCCTAAGGAAAAAGAAAAAAACAAATAGTCCCAGCATGAGTTATGGTTCTTATTTGTTGCTTTTAAATTGTTTTGCTTAAAGAAATAGCCACTGTGTGTTTTTAGGGTGGGTGTTTCCCTTCTCCTGTGACCAACATGCAGCAAGTGGGGCTCAGCACAGTGGTGCTGGCTGGTGGTCCCGGCGATCCTGGGGACCTTTCCCAGACTTCCTCATCCTGCTGGAACACTAAATTCAGCTCTGAAGGAAGTCAGCTGTGTTCACACTGGCTGGGCAGCACCTGGCGTCACAGCAGGAGCGTGGGGAGACCCCCTGTTGTGCCTGAATGCCCTGAACACGCCAACCTCCGCGTGGGTCCTGCTGCTGCACGGACTGTGCCCAAATGTGGCGCGGTTTCAAACATAGCTTGCAAAGGGCCCTGTTACTCCAAATCCCCTAGCTGCTTCTTCAAAGGAAATTAAAAAAAAAAAACAAAAACAAACAAAGCAGAGTCCTGCCACGCTCATTTCATACTGGGCTCATCTCCTTACCCCTCATCAAACTCCGTCATCTTAAATATGCCCAAGCCCTCCACCAGCAGCTTGCAGTTGTTGAGGGGCACGTTCAGCTTGTTCTGGAAGACGAAGGCACAGGAGAACTCCTTGTTCAGTTTGGCGGTTTCTGGCATCTGGTAGAGGAGGAAAGAGAGAAACAAACCCAAATACCGGGGATCAGAGGGGTAATAAAGATGCCGGACCCGCTGCAGGTTTGCTCCTCACCACCAGCATGGTGGGGGATAACTCCCTCATATCCTTTCCACCCTCCTGCGGCACCGTGCGCTCTGCCCTGCCAGCGGTTTTCCCAGCTCTTCTCTCTGGTTTCTCAACAGGTTTTTCCTTCAGGAGGCAGAGTTGCAGGGTCAGAGATGGGCCCCATACAAACTGTCCTCTTTCATCCCCTTCCCTCCAGCAGCCCCTGCCTGCCCATTTTAGATAGGGCAATAAAATCTTCATTTCATGGCTGCTTTCAACCTTCACGTAAAGGCTGAATAGCCAAATAAAATGCCGAGGACTGAGCATCCCAGGAGGCAGCTGTTTGGGAGACCTTCCTGGCAATGCTAACACCACCTTGGTGTTAGAGTGAGCAGGGCTTTAACCCTCGTCCCCGAGGAGCTGGGCTGGCGGCTGTCTCACCTGGAGGGTGATAGGGGGGTACTCGAAGTTCATCGTCATCTCGTTGGTGAGTTTGTCATCTGTTCCCTGGACCTCAGCAATGGTGGTGACGTGGATGAGCACTTCATCTTCCACTGAGGCCAGCGTCTTCATGTACTCATCTGCTGCAATTTTCAGAGGGACCTGCGTCTCTGCAGGAGAGAAAGCACAACTCAGTGCTTCATCAGATGCCCAGGAATTGGGTGGCAAAGTCAGCTCTGGTGGCCAGTGCCCCGGCGCGTGGGATGAGGCATATTTGCTGAGACCATCCAGCTTTGGGCCCGACCCAGGGGCCCCGCGGGGGAAAGCCCCGGCTGGAAGAGTAGTACCCGGCACGCGCAGCCCATGGGACGGGCGGCTGAGCCCACACCATCTCCCTGCCAAGCCGAGCACTGGCTCGGGCTCACATCCAGCGTCTTGGCAGCCCTTGTCCCCGGCTGCCCCGGCACTCAGGAGGAAGCAGAGGAGCGTGAGGTTGGGTACGTTTAAGCCCATGTGCCTTGGGGTTTCTCTGAGGCACTGCTTGCTATAAAATTAGCGGCTTTTGTTTCACTTCAGATTTTATCTTTAATTGCCTGGACAAACCTCCAGTGGTTCAGAAAGGCCCTGGAGTCAGCAGCACTGGAGCCTGAACATTGCTTTAGCCGTGAGGCTTCCTGGCTTCTGGGAATAAAAAAAAAGAAATGCCTATCCTTATCTCTAAATGTATGTAGCTACATTTGTGTCCTACCCTGCTGCATTTTGACAGCCACAGTATACGTGTGAAAATGCTCACTAATCACCAGCAGCAACGATTTTTTTTTTTTTTTTTTTTGCGAGAGTGACTCATGCTTGGAATGAGCAAGTGCTGTTAATTATTCATCACTCGTTAGTCTCTTGTTTAGCAAATTTCAGTCACATTGCTGGGGATCAGAAATACAAGCCAGGTTGCTCAAAGATATGCAATGAACAGCAAACAGCTCTTGGGATCAGCCAGGCAGGCAGCCGTGAGGTCGAACTTTGCTTGGGCAAAGAATTCAGAAAATAACACTCACCAGCATCACCACCAGCTGGTCAACGTTAGAGTGGCAAGCACAAGAACAAAAAAAGGCTGAGATTTCTAGCCATCTAAATCCTGTGAGAGATCTCACCCATATGGATGCACCCGAAGCCTGTGGTGGCATCTTTGATGATGCTCACACAGTGAGGACAGGAGGGAGATGCTCCAGCACACCTCGCTCGCACCGTGAAAACGTCTGTCTGCCCACACCGATGTATTTCTAACCATCTTGTTGAAGCTGCAGCAGGGACAGGGCCTTCACGTTTTGGTCCCTGCTATGGTGGGATCCCAGTCTGTAACTGAGACTCCCAAATGCAGTAACAAGAGAGGTAGGTAGCAGGCAGGCAATTTCTGCTCTTTGTGCTGTACAGAGGCATGCACTAACCTATAGTGGAGCTATTATGAACCAGCTTGAGTGAAACCCCAAACTGCCACTGTAAATAGCCCATAGAACACAGTGAGCCTACCAGATTTGCCTTCAAGCTTGACAGTCTCCTTGACATATCCAATGGTGGCCTTGACTTTCCCAGTATAGAGCTGTAGCTGGCAGGAGCTGGCAAGATTGATGGTCCAGCTTCCAGGAGTAGAGGTCTTCACTGTGATGGCCATTTCAAGGGGATTTCCAGGATACAAAGCTCCTTTATTGGTTATCTGAAGCTGCAGCCCAGTCTTGGAGACCGTCTCAGGCTTGGAGTGCTTGTCATCCACGGGCACAATCGATGCGAAGCGTGCACGAGGTATTATTCCTGAAGGGTGTAAGAAGGAGCAAGCCTTCTGCATGGACTCCCTTTCCTCTTTGGAGCCTGGATGAAGAAAAAAGATGGGTGATAGTTGTATCTCAGTCTCCTCACCCAGAGCCACCTTCCCTTTATTTATGCTTCTGCTGCTGAGCAGAAAGAATGTCAGGGCACCTCCAGCCTCTGCTCAGGAGACCCTCTTGGTTTACACTACCACCAGATCTAACTGACAGCAAGTCTTATGAGGAGCAGCTGAAGAAACTAGGGTTGTTTAGCCTGCAGAAAAGAAGACTCAGGGGAGACCTTATTGCTCTCTACAACTACCTGAAAGGAGGTTGTAGTGAGGTGGGGGTCGGTCTCTTCTCCCAAGAAACAAGCAATAGGACAAGGGGAAATGGCCTCAGGTTGCACCTGGGGAGGTTTAGGTTGGATATTAGGAAAAATTTCTTCACCAAAAGGGTAGTCAGGCACTGGAACAGGCTGCCCAGGCAAGTGGTTGAGTCCCCATCCCTGGAGGTATTTAAAAGATGGGTAGATGTGGTGCTTGGGGACATGGTTTAGTGGTGGGCTTGGCAGTGTTAGGTTAATGGTTAGAGTCAATGATCTTAAAGGTCTTTACTAACCTAAATGCTTCTAAGATTCTAACTGTAGCATTTTGGACTGGAAGAATTTCCTGAAGGAGACACTTTTAGAGGATGGATGCTCTTAAATTTTTCAGCCTAAGATTTTCCCGCTCCTTACTGGGAAGGGTTTAACAGTCTAGCACAACATGGATGGATCTGAGAACTGTGGGGAGTGAATATCGGGGGTTTTTTGTTTCCGATATGGTCTGGGGAATGCAAAGACAAAAAGAAGAATGAAGAAATGAAGCAACAGTGAGTCTGACCACTAGGCTGGTCACTCAGCCCATTTCTTTCGCTGCCTGCAAGCTTGCTCACACCCATCCTTAAAGAGCAGCCTATAGGTGTCACTGCGGGCATGAAGATGCCCAGGAGCAGGCTGCCTCCCCCAGGTCTTCAGGCCTTACACAGGGTTTGCCACTGCAGCTGCCCCTGCGGTTTTCTCCTGGAGAAAACACACGTTGTGGGACGATGTACACGGCCAGGGGTCTCCTCTTTGGCACTACTTTAGAGCACGGGAGCAGTCACCTTCAGGGAACTTGTACTCCGCGGTGATGTCTTCCCGCTTGTCCTGCCCCACGGCTTTTGTGCTTATGTTCACACCAATGCCTTTGGTGTCCGTGCTAATCCTGGTGTACTTATCCACGCCGTTCACCTTCTTGATGACCCAGTAGACTTCATCAGCATTCACTTCTGCGTACACAAACTTGCCATCGAAGGGCAAATACACATCCCCTTCTCGGATAGCCTTCAGCGGGCATGGACCACACTGGAAAATACCTAGAAAGCACATTCAACACCATTTGCTTTTCCAAATATGAGCAGAGCCTCCAATTTTTGTTCCACCCTCAGACCCACCCAAGCAGGAATATGTGGCCATGGTAGTTGACTCTTTCACCAACTCAGTGATGAATTAAAAAAACCCCCCTTTATCCCATAGCTCTTTGGGCTTTTTTACAGATGACCAAGGTCTGGTAAGAGCTTTTATGTGTTTCCCCTCACTTCTTAAATAATTTTAAGGTTTGAAAGTCGTGACTTGGTGATGGAGTCAACTGAGCCCAGCCACCTGTGTTTGATCTCCTGGCAGTACTCCATTTTCTGCACAGCCTTGAGGGCTAATGTTTTCTTTCCTGCCTCCAAATTCCCTGCATCTGTGCAGGGAGGGTAGTCACCGATTTTGGCAGTCATTTCTCTCATTTACCAATGAACGGACTCATGACTTCCTCAGGAAAGCTCTACAGAAAGCATCTTTACTGGGGAAAGCTGTGGCACCTATTACTACAGACTGCTTTGAGTCCTCAACTCCATCAAAGAAATCAGAGGACATTGGAAAGCGAAATTAACACCTCTGATTTCCAGCTGTGCGCTCTAACCTCTGAAATGACATTCAAGTCCCCGCAGTGTCCTGCAAGGTTGGTTTTCTGCCTGCCGAGAAACACTGTTCCTCCAGTCCCAGGCTGAGATGGCAGGCGTGAGACCTCCGGCTTTAGGATGTCACTGCCCAAGTGTATGAAGGTGTGCATGGGGAGTATGTGCTTTGCTGACCAGGTACCATGGTTTTCATAAGAAATGTCCCTGCCTCCCTTGGGAGTTGCAGAAGAGCCTTTCTAGGCAATTCCTACCTTGACTTTGCTCCTGAGGGGTTGAATCGATTGCCTGCCAGCCGTCAAACCCTGCCGGCAGGTCCCTCCGCTTCATCCAGACGTCATTCCACACGTGGAAGTTCCTGCGTGCATTTGGGTTGGAAAGAAAAAGAGTGAGCTGTTACAGCCAGAAAAGTCACAATCATCTCCTCTCTTAATCTTTAAATAAGGGCAGGTTTAATGGGGTTTTGCATGTAAGCCTGTGAAACCCCAGGCTTTCTCCCTCTCCCAGGCATCAAACATGAAACAGTAGGGAAATTCTCAAAGGAAAGGCTGTTGGGCCTGGGAAAGGTGACACTGTGGGGCGGTGTGGGGGGTAGGAGGCATTAGCCCCTCCTTGGCAGTACCAAATGGAGTCAAGGGAGATCCCGTTCAGCTTTTCTCCAGATTCATTCAGGTAAACGTCAACTCTCAGGTTCTCCTCTGTATCGTGTGCTGAGTTGAAGTTACTCACACAGCGGCATGGGATCCCCAAGCAGCGCATGACTGTGGCACAGACAGACAAAACACAGGGTCACAAAATCACTCAGGTCGGCGGGTGCCTGTGGAGATCGTCTTGTCCAACCCCTCTGCCCACCCAGGGCCCTCTAGAGCAGGTGCCCAAGACTGTGTCCAGACAGCTTTTCATTATCTCCAAGGATGGAGACTCCACAACCTCTCTGGGCAACCTGTGCCAGTGCTCCATCACCCTCACAGTGAAAAAAGCTTTTTTCCCATGTTCAGACAGAACCTCCCATGTTTCAGATTGTGCCCGTCACCTCTGGTCCTGTCACTGGGCACCACCGAGAAGAGCCTCGCTCTGTTTGTCCCACTCCCTCCAGTCGGGTATTTATACACACGGATAAGACCCCCTTGAGCCTTCTCTTCTCCAGGCTGAGCAGTCCTGGCTCCCTCAGCCTCTCCTTACATGACAGGCTCTGCCACCTCTGGCACTCAGAGGCACAGTAGTTTGGCTTACTAGCACAGTAATTAGAATATCAGAGAAGGGAGACGGTTCACTGTTTACCTGTAGTGAGGACTCCTGCGAAGACCCAACATTGACCATAACAGACTGGCTTCTTCGTGTTGTAATACTTCTGCAAAATCGAGACGCTCCCAACCCAATCCATAGGGGAGGTCCCGCTGCTGTAATTCCCTGACCAGTTCCCCATCAGGACACCGCTGTCGTCATTGGCATTAACCTGTGGCCACACACATGCAAAGGAGAAAAATACAGGGATAAGGCTGAATGAGGCTTAAACACCGGGGTCTCTGCCCACCCTGTGGCTCCTCAGGTGCTCCACAGCCCTGTGGAACCCAGCAAGGCTGCTGGTGCTGGCTGCGGGCTCCTCTGGTTGGAAACTCTCCACCTGGCTATCTAGAGGGAGGTGGCATGGGGCAGCCAAAATGCACTCTGCATCTTGTATCTTAAACCCCAGGGCTCCAAGAAGGGTCCCACCACAGAGAACAGTTGCCCCCTGAAACACAACCCTTGTGTTGACCCTGCCAACGCAGCTGCTGAGGAAGGACAACCACCGGGGCAGCTGCAAGCTTTGGAGGTGGGGAGACGCTGTATTTCGCTCGCCTCTTGCCTCCACCCAAAATGCCTCTGTCTCTTTCCTTGTGGTTTCCCAAAGGAACCCATTTCAGATGTATCCTGAAATGGTGTTCAAGGCCTTGGGGAAAGAAGAGCAAGTAAGAAGGAGGAGGGAAAGCTGGAGAGGCAAAGGACTTCTCTGAGAGAGGCGTACCAAAGCAGACATGGCTCTCGACACCAACACAGGATCCCCCGTATTGCTTATCTTGAGATTACTTTTGTCCAGCAGATACATGCAGGCGTCCAAGATGAATTCCTCAAACTGTTTTGGAGAGAAAGTGGAGACATTTTTATATGCCGCTGTAAAACAGAACTTGCTCAGTCACTATGAAGTCTATCTAAGTACTTGGAGGAAACTATCTGACTGGTCCTAACTTCTAAACTTCCTTATGATATTGAATTCTCAAGCCTATGGGGCTTCCCAAAGCTATTCTCTCCAACGAAGGGCTTAAATGAAAACCCACCTTGGAAGACATAAGCCTGTCTCACGTGTCTTGCAAACACAGTTGAAACCTGACCCAGCAATCTTTACTCTTGTGAGTAGTCCTAAGACACCTACGTCATCTCCCTGCAGCCCTGCAAATTGCTCACAAGATTAATGAAAATTTAAGAGTGCTACAGATACTCAGTCTATTGACACAGGTACAAAATGAACTCTGGGGATTAAAAAAAGTACATAAATGCAGATTATTACAGCCAAAGATTCCTAATTAGCAATTGCTGATAAAGCTCCCTGAGGTCCAATTCACAGAGATGCCAAACATCCAATCCAAAAAAGCTTGGCAGAATATCAATATCAATTCTCATTGCTTAATGGGAGAGTAAATATTAGGATAGGAACAGCCCTGTGGACAGTGCCCTTTGGCCCCTTCATGGAAAAGGCTTCCGCAAGAGCACTTTTGCTGGGCTATCTATATCTTACGTCTTGAAACTGCAGACTTATAAAACAAACTAAAACTGAAAAAGAAAACAACAACAACAAAAAAACCCAGATTCAAACATATTTTGGTGGGGAAGTCTATCTGGATAGGGTGCAGGATGCTCCGTTTGGGTGCCTGTATGCTTTCTACAGGGTGCAAATAAACCTGCTCTTGCATCCACCTTTTATCTCTAGCCTGAGCAAGTTTGTCATTCCACTCCACTGGAGTCATCTCAGAGGCAGCGTGGAGCAACACCCTTCCTGAGAGGGCAGGCTGATTGCGTCCTGCACCCAACAGTTCTCTTTGCAGTTGATGAAGGCATCACTTGAACAATGACCACCTCTGCCAGTGCTTTTCCCCTGTTTTTCCCCGATCATGATGCAATAGGTAAATAGTCAGATGCTTTTTTCCCCCCATCAGCCCTCTCTGCGGCTCACGAGCTGGTTACCAACCAGAGAGCAGGGAGGACTCCGTACGGGAATCTTTCCAACCAGAAATGCTCCATCCCCAATTCCCATGTCCTTTGCGAGGGGTCTCATGATCTGATTATAAGCGTGCCATTAAACCCTGTTCTAAAGCTGTGGCTGGGGAAAACACTTAAGTACACAGATTGCTCTAAGCAGGTGAGCCCTCCCAGTGAAGCTGGCAGGATTATTCAAGCACTTTGAGCTACTCATGGGCTTAAACTGTTTTTAGGTCTGATTCACTGAAACAACTGCCTAAGGGAGTAAGAGGAAATAAGGGTAATAACACCGAGAAGACAGCTGTGTTTTACCTGCCCAAAATTCCAGGGTCTACCGTATATGTTGTATGCAGACCCAACATAGATGTAGCCTGTATCATTGAGCACGTACTCCTTTCTCTTAGCCTCATCATCCAGGAAGACGGCATCAGCTGGAACAAAAAAAAAACCTCAGATGTTAGGTGGTTTGTACACACACTATACAAAGTTTTCCTTGGAAAGCTAAACTGGGGGAGCTGATGGTCTGTAACATTCACACCAAATGATGACCATGTAGCACTCACATTTTTTTTTCCTATTGTGGAAGAATTTCCTATAAGACTAAGCTTTATTTTACTCCTGTAGGTCTATTGCTATATGACCACTGTTTTATTTTAGTGAAATGCTTCTTTCTGAACAAACACTTTAGTGGACTAGGTAGACAGCAGAGAGAACTGGGGGACTGATGCCAAACAACACCACATGTTTTTTTGTCTGGTTATTTTTTTTATCTGGATTTTAAGCTAACCCAGTCATCTCAGTTAACCTTTGGCGTGGCCCAGGGAAACAGCAAGGGGTGACACAGAGGTGCAAACAGAGACGGCAGAGAGATGCACCTTAACCCAGCACTGGGGCCTCCCCAGCCAGGAGCTGGCTCATTGCAATTGCCCAGCACTGGCTCCATGAGAACGCTGCTTGTGATGTTTTAGGGAAAAAAAGCAATGTATGTGGGAAAGAGAGGAGGAAAAAAGTGAGGAAAAGCTCCCCCAGGAACAATCCCTTGGAGCAGTAATTATCACCCCCAGTCGCACGACCGCTCACCTTCACACCAAGGATTGAACAAAAGGTAGACAGCATTATTTTCGGACTTGTAAATGTTAGTCCCAGTCTTGACGTTCAGGGTGTATTTTCCCACCATGGCCCTGGGTGAGCTGGTGACAGACAGCAGGCACTGGGGAGGCGACAAGGAGAGAGGGCGTGACGGACCTTCCGCCGTGGCCAGAGGCACAGCACAAGCACCGAATATGGTGGCCACAGGGATGTGGGGGGGGGAAGAGGGATGGGGCGCATCCTGCGCGCGCAGTGGGGGAGCAAGGAATTAAACAGGGCAAGGCTGCTGCCTGCCTAAAATTTCAGGGCTAAGAGAAAGCAGGGCGGGGGTAGGAGAATTTTCTCTGTCGCTCCCAATGGGCTCGGTGTTGCTGCCCTCCACCATTGCACCGTGTGGGAGCACGGCCCGTGGGTTCTACCTGGTTGCCACTCTTCTTGACAATGGATATTTGCCACCCGCTGGGGTCCTGCTCCTGCTTCGCGTTCAGTGACATCAGGGTCCCCCTGGTTTTCATTGGGCTTTTGCCTGGAAACAAACGCAACAGGAGATGCGGGAGGGTTGCACAGGTCTACAATGACCACGCAGTGCCAGGCGGCAGGAACAGGCAGCCGGAGGGTGCCGGGGCTCTCCCGCTTTGCCTGACGGCCGCGAAGGGGAGATCTGCTTACCGATGCCGAAACGCAGTGCCAGCTTGTCGCTAGCCTTCAGCTCCCTGCTGAAGCTTAGCTGGAGCTGAAAGGCCTGCCCGCGCCGCACCACCAGGTTCTTGATGTTGTACGCATCTGTGTGGTGCAGGCGGGTGTTCTGGCTCTTGAGATAGTCAATCCCAGTGACCTTCAGATCAGTCCCTGGAAAGCCATTAGCAGAGAGGGAGAAAGAAAAAAGAAAAGGGGGTTGATGGTAAATTGCTCAGTAGAGACAGTTTTCTTCTTCTTAATGGAGCCCTGTAAGTCATCAAAACATCTAAGCGTCCAGTGGTCTAGCACAAGTAATCACACCAAGGATCGCCAAAGCTAATGGATGATACAACAGTTTTTATATATATATATATATGTACATATGTATATATGTAGTATATATGTATATATATATACATATGTAGGTCTGGGGCCAGGAGCCAGTTGTGCTGCAGAGGTGTTGCCCATCTGGGGGGATGCTAAATGTGGGGGGCAGTGCTCTGCCCCCCTTCACGCCAACTGGTGCTTTTGCCGTTGGACTCCAGCACAGCTTTGGACTCCAGGGAGAGTCCCTGCCAGGTGCCCCGCTCCCATTCATTCCCAACACAGCAGTTCATTTCATAGGACACAGCATTTAAAATCACCATCTCCCAGGCTGCTCAGCCCTCCTGCCACTCCGGATGGGAGCAGGGCTGGGAAAAGGTCTCGGGGCTGCAGCGTAGGAGCGGGGCTCCAACAGGCACAACCCAGTGCTGTGCTTGAGTAAAGAGTGAAGCCTTTGAGCAAAGACTGAGCACAGAGAAAGCCCTCAGCTTTCAATAAAAATGGGGATTTGGAGATCACTGCATCAGGCTTTGGCAGGGTGCCCAGGTGTGATCGGGAAAGCCAGAGCATGCCAGAACACGGCCCAGCTATATATCTTTGGAAGTGTCTAACCTGTCTTGTACCTGCCCATTAAATATTCTTAAAGGATAAATCCTGTGTAAACAGTAGGGAGTAACAATACCTCAAAAGCGCTTGGCTCATGAGTGATTCAGACGAAGATATGGGAGAGTCAAGGAAATTTAAAACCACTTATAGTAACTTCGAAATTAGCTAATCAAAGGCATAATGGTTGAAGGGATTAGTTCACAAAATGTTTTGACAGATTCGCACGGTACCAGGCAACTGTGCTAACTTACGTATCGACAAGAGCCATTCCTAACATCGAAGAGGCTGAAATCTGCTGGTAGCTGCTGTGGCATGAGAGATGCCACAGGCAGGGCCGGATCCAGGGCAGGCTGAAATCAGTGGCACGCTTCCCCCTGCGACCTGTGCTGGGCAGTGACTGCAGCCTTGAGTAAACTGAAAGGAGTGCCCATGGCTCCCCATGAGATTACTACCTCCATGTGTTTCTTCTTAGTAACTATATAAACCATATTTATCTTAATTACATAACAGTTATCGGCAAATAGAATTAAAATTGCCCATCACCTTTCATTAACTGATTTCATTTTTGAGTGCTTTTTGTTTGCTTGCTGCCTGCCAGATGCCAACCTTGGGCTGATGTTTTGCGCAACGGGTGTTGCGTGTGCATGTGTATGTCAAAAAATTGCAGCTGGAATTGCTTAACCCTCTCAAAAAGGACAAAGGGGAAGTGAGTCTTCCTCAGCATTAACAAATCTCCAGCCATCAAAGCTGCTTGACCTTGTTCCTTACAGAAACACTGGTGCTGAGCTGAGAAGCTACCAGAAAACAGCCCTGCTGATGGCAGAGGGCTTTGGAGGGATGTGGGAGCTGAATGCATAGGATGGCTGTGGGAAAAGGCCTTGGGGAATCCATCCTTCCAGCATTTCCTAACTTAGGGACGGCATTTCCATCCCCTGGACATCACCGATGTTGAGGATGCACAGAGAAAAAACGCAGAGAACAGCTGCCTTGGAATATGCCCTGACAGTGCAGAGCACGGTGCCAAAGACCTCTCCTTGCAAGCGCTGCCTGTCAATTGCGCTGTGCTTACTCCTGTGCAAATACAGTCGCGACACCTTATGATGCAGCTGGTGCGGTGTCCACCAAGAAATGCCGCGGAGCGAGCCAGCGGTGCACCCATTGCCGCGTCTGAGGGGGCTTGGCCACCACCCGCCCTCCTCGGGCAACCCCCAGGGGACACTTTCAGCTTCCTGCTCTGCCTCCTGCCCGGGGCAGGGCGCCCGCATGCCCTGTGCCCCACTGCCTGCAGGCGCCGTGCTTTGCCAACACATTAATTAATGATCTGTAGCAGAGCTGGGCCTGCCAAGAATACGCGTGCTCATGGGACAGAGGCTCGAGCTGCAGGAAGCAGCCCTGGCTGTGCTCGCTCCTGGGGCAGGCCAGAAGCAAACCCAAATCCTGCCAGATAACTTTTTCCTTTTTTTAGAAGAAATTTCAATACAGTATTTTTATTTTTATCTCCTAGTTCCATGATTTATCCCTTCTAGAGCTCCTTCCTACACTTACCTGCTGGCCTCATCATATGCTACCTTCTTGGGAAGATGTTCAGAGCTTCGAGAGCACAGTGATCACCCAGAACAAAAGGGCTTTGCACTGGTAAGGATCTGGGGCCTTTTTTCCATGGGGACGAGGCGATGGGTTTTAAAAAATATATTAATATGGAGCAGAGCATTTATAGCGTGCTGGGCTTCAGTGAGAATAAGGGCTGCTCGGACGGACAGGCGGGAAGTGGGATGGGAACTGTAGTTTTTCAAGAGAAAGCAAAGTTTGGATGCCTGCATTTACTCCTCATCCTTGCCCAACCTCCAGCAAACACTCTCTCATGTCCCAGAGACATGGAAAACAAAATCCTGCCACTCTATGTCTTTCTCATCCCTCTCCATCGCCCCCACCGTGAGCTGGGTGCCCACAATGTCACCCACAGCTGCCCTGCTCGAAAAGCCCAATCCTCCTACGTCCTCTGGCTCTGCCTTCCCTTGCTGGTGGCCTGTAACTGGGGGCAGTGAATCAGCTGAGAGGTCTTTGCGTATACGCTGACTTGTCCAAGAGTGCGCTGTTAGTAAAGAGTTAAGAGAAGTCAATCCAATCACATCCTAAAGATGCTGCTGTCCGAGACTTCCTGGAAAATTTCAGCTCATCCACACCCAGAGCATGGAGGTGTGAAATGGAAGGGCTCGGAGCAGTGTTAGGACGCCCTTCCCCTTGTGATGGCTGTGGACCCCAGCTCTGCTGCAGGCACCACCCAGCCCGCACCCACAGCTGCTCAGCTATGCCCCAAACCCTAGGGGTTTTGGGCATCCTGGGGTTGGGCTGGCCCCAGGAGTGCAGCCAGCGGTGGTGCTTCGGCAGCTGCTACAGGAGTGACTCAGGCACCTTTCTAGGTAGGTGCAGGGTCTTCTGACAATAGGGCAGGCAGGATGGCCATGGGACGGAGCTCAAGTCCAAATAAATCCCCTTTTCAGTTATTTTGAAACTTCTGTCAGATGGTATCAGTGATCACTAAAGAGCAATAATCTACACAACTGAGTAGCCTGAAGGAAAGAAATTCCTTTCACCTTGACACAGAACAAGTTTAGAAAAGCTGCGTTTCTTTCCTATTATCACCAATAGAGCCAGATGTCTGCAGGTTGATGAAAAGTGATGAAAAGTGGGTTGCATTTTTCAGTTGGCTTACCGATCCATCAAAACCAGAATTTGTGCAGCCGGCGCAAACCTATCCCCTGTGAGCAGCGGTGGCACTGAAACACCTTTCCCCAAGCTGTCACCCACAGCAGCTGGAGGGGTGAGAAACCCTCCACCTCCACCGGAGCTGGCATCCTCCCCACAGGAGACCTGCCAAACTGCGCATCTAACATAGGCTATGGTATTGAGCATTAAAGACTCACCAGCGTTATTGCTCATGGTTCTTGTCGGCGTTGCGACCCGAGGTGCCTGTAATGCCAGTAGCTTCCAAGCTCCTGAGTAGCCTCTGCCACTTGCTTCTGAGCATGGAGAAGGAAGACGGGCTGCCCTTTTTATCAGCGTCTCGCTCTGAGGTGTCAGCAGGTCCACTGCCAAGGGGTGGTGTTTGGAGAAAGGAAGTTCCCATGAAAAAAAATGACTACAACTCCCTCTGCACATAGTCAGACCCTGAAAACCAGCGAAACTTAAATCTTGATTTACATGGAAGGTGGATTTGCGTAATCAGATGACAAGTGGACAGACCCTTCACTGACAAACACTGACAAACATGGGCTAGATGAGTAACAAGAATGCACGTATGCCCTAACATCCAGGTTATCGGGACTGCAACTCAAGGGCTAGCTTTACCAAGGCAGCCCGCAAATTTTAATCCTTAGGAAAATAGAGTTCCCTATTAGGACCAGTGTGACTTTATTTGAAGTTAATGAGATTTTTATTATCATGTTAGGGACAGAAACACTTGAAGCTGTGGGCTAAAATCCAGTGTTTACATGCATGGGTTGGAAAGTCCAAGGTACCTGGTGCTGGCCCCTCCTTGCGAGGTCAGGCAGATGCTAGGTGAGATAGCCCAGCAGGAGCACTGAGTGGGAAAGAGGAGAAACAGGCCATGTCTAGCAGGAGCAAGAAATGTGGTGGATCAGGAGCTGTTTGCTGGCTGCTCTTTGCTGACAGCTGTACCAAAGGTCTCTGCCCAGGAGGTGGCTGGACGCCATGTGCCCCACTTGCACGCTGGTCTTTGGCGTGATCAAAGATGGAGAGATGAGTCTACCCCACTGAGGGGAGAGCTGGTGGCACAGGCCAACAGTGACATGGGCACAGTGGCCAGAAAGAGATACAAACATGTCCCCAAATACCCAAAAGTGAAGAGGCGGCTCAGCCACAGGAGCAGCCTCGGCGTGCCAATGCCTCCCTTCATGGCAGCAGCCCAGGGTCCAGCAATGTAGGATTCAGTCTGCAAGACTGGTGCATCTAAATGTAGGATCTCCCTAAACAAGATCTCCCTGTGGAAGCCTTCAAAAACACCAACTTTTTTCCATCAATTCAGGTAGCTAGGTATTTTCTTTAGGAGAACTGTTTCATTTGGTGCTGAAATGTCGGCACAAGCGAGGTGCTGAGTTAGCAGATCCCACCCTTTGGGCACGTCACTGCTTGCTGGCAGATGTATGTTGGGTGTCCTTACTTGAGAGCATGACTAGTGCATTCCAGGGTACCGAGGGTTCAGTACCCATCTATAATCTTGCAGGACATCTGTATGAACATCTGAACCGCCAACGTTCTTAGTAGACAGAGCATCACTCATCATTCAGCACCAGACAATGTGCTGGCAAGTACATATTTCACTATTGAAAAAAACACTACAACCCCAACTTACCTTTCAGCGTTGCTTTTACTCTGCATTTCTTTCCTCCTGGAAGGTGAAAGACATTTTTGTTTAGAACCAGCATGGGAGGAAGTAAAGTATATGTGGAATGTTGGTACAATAACATAATCAATAATACAAGTAATCTGAACATTTATGATGTATATTACTGGTTTCCACTTAATCACAGCAACAGAGTAATCCACTTCATCTGAAGGCACTGAGAATAGCTTTCTAATCCAGTCTCAACCTGTTATATATATATCATTCCATGCCTGGTTGGAGGCAGCTTAAATTTTTTTGGCACAGTAGTCCTACAGCAAAAACTACAGATTTTTGCAAACAGGAACAAGTTGATGTTGGCAACACTTTGCTCCTGAGAAAAATGTACATAGGCCCATGCTGGAGGGTCAGTGGTGGAGGCAGGGCATGTATTCACCAGGAACAGTCACATTTCCAGTCCTATAGCGTTTTGCAAAAGGCTGATTTCAACAGCATGCATGTTCTGACCCTCACTTTGAACCTCAGAG